GACATCCGGGCAAAAAATAAGTGTATTTAGTGCTCTTATTTTTCTTTCTTTGTGAGCAATGGTTAGGATGAGTTTTGTGTTTTTTCTAATTTTAAAGGAACATTTCTTCCTCATTCATCTTAGTGCAGTAGTGAAATACCATCTTTGTCCACTCTTTCTGCTGTTTTTGCAAGTGAAGTCTGTAAGTCTTTTAATTTCACTAAGTTAACACAATAATGCCTTCAGCTAAGTGGTGTTAAACCTGTTTGTATGTGCACTAGTGTGTTGTCACTGGAGTTGCTGTCGTTGCTTCGGGGCTGTGGTACCCCGAGGCACTGAGTCTTGGCTAAGTTACCTTCAGATACTTGCCATCCTAGCACCGACTCTTCCCTTCTGACAAGTTGTGCCTCTAAAGTTGCGGTTTTGTCTGGATGGAAAAGTGGACAGGACTTGGATCTTGAGGAGCAGAGGGGTGTGGGAAGTTGTGGGCACAGCATCAGATCATAATGATGCACTGGTTTTCTTCACTAAACTAATCAGCCTCAGTAGCATTTTTGAAACCCGTTTTCTAGAGTACACATGGGGAGTGTTACCTTTGGCTGAGCCAGCGGTGGGCACAGCTGCTGAGCCATCTCACCGGCTGCCGAGAGAAGCCACCCGTAACTGCAACACCAGGAGGAATGGATTCTTTTCTTCATGGGCAGGGCCAGAATTTATAGAGGGTATATGGATTTGTGTGATCAGTGGCAAGAAGGCCACCCTGTCAGCTGCTGTTCTAATCACTCAGCTCTGAAGGGGTGTTCTCTGCAGGCTCACTGGAGAGCTCCAGGCCCAGTTTGACCCCTGAATACAATGGGTTTGACTCAACCTTGCGTTTTTCAAGCGCGATGCCTGTAATAGGCACCTAAAGGTAGATAGGAACCAGTCTCATCACTGACAGCTGATAAACTGGCGTGTGCTCCCTGTTTGCATGCTTTTAGCAGTGGTGTGTAGCAGGTGCCTTACATTTGCCACATAGTAAGAGCCTACCTGGAGTAGTTACTGTTGAGTATCTGATGTGTGATAAATTCCTGTCCTCTTATTTTGCAGTAACGAGCATAAATCTTTGTACAAGGCCTAACCCCTTTTAATAACCTTTTAATTAACCTCACTCTAGGCAAAAGATCAGGAAGGTTCTTTTTTATTTTCCTTTTCAGGAGTTGGAAATGTTATTTATGAGAAGATAATTGACATAATGTAACTGCAGGCACAAAGAAAGCTGTACATACTGGGCCGTCAAAATAAGTGCAGACACTTGTTGCAGTCATTGACAGACAAGAAAGAAGTGACCACGGCTGCCCCAGTGTGCAGTCCTTGGTGCTCCGAGAGATTTTTGGGGGTTATATCAACTGTTCATACGGTTCATCTAGATTCGTGTTAGACTCGAGCTAGTCGTTCCTCCTGGAGTGTGCAGGCACACGCCGCTGCCGCCGCCGCGGCTTTCGCTCCGCGGTCACATCTGCGTCTCCCAGTGCCTCCAGGGTCAGCCAGGCTCCCCGTGACGCTGCTGGTGGAGGTTTAACGACGAGGCTGTGCTGTGTGTGTAAATACACCTCGCAGTTCATTGAGCGACATGCTGTTCCTGTTTTGATGCTGCTGCTGAGGTGTTCTAATTAGTAGTTTTGAAGATTATAGAACAGTTTTCGACAAACCACTGTTTGTCCCTTTCTTCGTCTAGAGACTCTGTGCATCTATGGATTTATAGTGCGTGCTGGACAGAGGATTGTTTCCAGAGCAATGTATGTTTTGCTCCTGTAAAAGGAGTAGGTCTTGATGTTCTGTGGTGGTTAAGCAGTTTCTGAGTGATCAACTCTTCTTAGCTTTCACTTTTTTTTCTGGCAGGTTCAGAAAGAAGAGTTGTTATTTTTCTCCATAGAAGTTGAGTGTCAGAAGTAGTATATAAGGTGAAAAGAGTGAGGTCAGCTATTGAAATTGTTAATGGTGAAGGAATCTCTTGACTTTACCTCTTAGTATTGCTGATATGAGAAGTGTGTGTCTGAATGTCAAGGTCTTGGACTGCCATTTTGGGAGACAAGGAGTTAGTTGGGGTGGAAAGACTGGAGTTGGTATTCTTTCTGCTCTGTTACCCATTGCTATCTTCATGGATCTGACACTCTGTTTATCTGACAGTGCACTCAGTACTGCTTCGCCAGGGAAAATCGCACAAAACAAGCCTAGTGCATCAGCACTTTCATTGTGTCTTAAGCTGAGCCTCCCTTCACATGGTCACATCCCCTTTTTAATCTGGGATTCCATGTCCCTTTCCCAGTCCAGCCTGTTTCTGTGGTGTCTATTGCTGCTCTCCCTGAGCCTCTGTTTCTGTGGTTTGAGTGTTTTTTGTGTGGCTGAGTGTTAAGACCTGCAGGACTTTTGGAAGTGGTGTTGTTTGGGGGTTAGGCAGTACACTGATTTAGTGTTAGTAGTTTGTCATAGACTGAGGTGATGGCTGCGTTCAAGTTGGATTTCCTGCCGGAGATGATGGTGGACCATTGCTCCTTGAATGCAAGCCCTGTGTGAGTATTCTGTCTTCGTGTCTAAGTTATAACTAAAATGGCAGTTGGAATTGCTGCCTTTAAAGCCTCTGCTGTCTCATGAACTCCCCGTGGGGGTCAGGAAGGAGACGTAGGAGACCCTGCAGTTTGTTTTTGTTAAAAATCCTAGGGGCCATTGACAATTGATGTTGGTTTCTAGATAGAGGGGGAAATGGTCTGATAATTGTGGGCTAAGGACTAAGGAGAAATAAAACTCTTTGGCAGTGTTGTTTATAGTATTGTAAAACTGGTTATTTTAATCAGTTTTTGGGAGACCAGTTTCTCTTCTTCCCTGTTAATGACTCCAGACTAAACCTTTTAGTAGGAATAAAGTACTGTTGAGGTTAAGAGTTGTCCTGCTAACAGGAGCCATGCTGTGCTCTTGGATCTACCCATGGCATAGAAGGAAGGGCTGAAAACTACTATTGGAAGAGGCTGAGTGATTACCAGTTGTGCATAACTGAAATGAGAAGAGGTAGTTTGCATCTTTGCGGTAGGTATTGTTTGCCTTGGCTGTTTGGAGAGGTGCTGACCCTTTCTGAGTGGAAAGGTGGAGAGGAGTGAAAGGATTTGTGGTGATTCCCTTCCCTTGTAGTAAGGACCTTTGTTGTTTCCAAAGTCTGTTCATACAGCTGTAAAATTATGAGCTTTCCCTTAGGCTCTGAGCACCAGCATATTGAGGGGAAAAATTAACCAAACATTACCTGGTGTGGATGTTTTTTAAATTCTGTTCAGGGGGAATAGGGTTTCAGGTGGACAGTGAGAGGAATACTGTTTGCTGCCATGTGCAGGTAATAAACTGATCAAACTACCTTCAGGAAGCAGCGATGGAGAGAGCTGACTGCTCTGGAAGAAGGCCATCTGTATTCCTCACAGTTTGAGGGCAAGGGGAATCATTGTGTAGTTCCTGTTCCACTCCCCATGTCCTTTGAGGCCACGCAGGGATTGGTCAGCAGTTTGAACATACTAATCACTGTAGCTGCACGTGGATGTCGTTACCATCAGACCTCCACGGAGACAGGTGCCCTGGCACACCAGGCAGTGACTGCTGGTAACAAGGCCTCACCTTGCTGTCAGCAAGGGGTGAGGAGTCAGTACAGAGCAGTGTGTGGCTGGCAGCTGGACGGGTGGGGCATAACACAGGTTCTGTCAGGAGGGTGTCAACTGCGTGTGGCTAGATGTAATGCCTTGGAATGGGTTTAGGTTCCCATGCTCAAAACTCCTGTTGTCTTGTAGTCTGGGAAGTGACTTTTTTTTTTTGCTTTGTTAACATCCTGCCATTACTCAATGTGATTCAGCCTGTGACTAGCTGAGTTGTCCAATCCCAACTTGTTCATGTGCGATCGGCCTGGATTTTTTGTGAATTCCTGTTGAAAACTCTGTAGTTTCACAAAGAGGTATTGCTTTGTAAACTTTGAAAGAAGCTTTTTATCTGTTCAGTTATACCCATGTTTCTGTTTTAAAATGGCTCTTCACCTTGGGAAACAGTTGCTCACATATAAAAGCACTTTTAAAACGTCATCCTCACCTCCAGTGGCTGCTGCTAACTTCAGTAGTCTGTAGGTAGGCTGCTGCTGTATGGAGGAGTATAGGTTTCTTACTGTCCTGTTCTCTGTAAAATTTTGCATGGTTGAAGGAGTAATGTTTTTCAGTTATCTCAGCAGATTTATATCCTGAATCTGGGATGTTGACTATGTTCTAGTAACAGAGCTTTGAACAGCTGTGTGGAGTGTGTTTGGTTCCAGGTACACAGTTGCCAATGAGTGTGAAGATTCTCTGGTGTGCTGTACTGGGAACGTGCAGGAGTGTCTCTGTGCACGTGTATTTTAGTCATGTCAATTTATATATGTGTGGAAACATCGTTTTTAATCTCACTGTAAGCTGCTTTTGTCTAGAATCTGTGGAAGATACAAACCAGAAACTCCTCCTTGTTTTTCGCAGCTCAAAGAAAATGAATGGCACACTGGATCACCCAGACCAACCCGACTTAGATGCTATCAAGATGTTTGTGGGTCAAGTCCCACGGAGCTGGTGTGAGAAGGATCTAAGAGAACTTTTTGAACAGTACGGTGCTGTCTATGAAATCAATGTCTTGAGGGACAGGAGCCAAAACCCTCCTCAAAGCAAAGGTGAGAACTTCTGTCCTTCCCATGTGAGACTTGAGGTCGCAGCTGCTTGCACAGAGTTGCAGTCTTAGCTGTTTGCTTATTCAGACATCTCTGTGTTGGAGCCGAGTGTGACCAGGTGTGTGTGCAAGCCCAGGCTTTATAGTCTGTGAGTGTATTTGTCTAACTCCATTTGAGCTGTGATGCAGTCATTAGCTGAGCTGAGGGAAGTCATTGCTGTTTTTAGAGCTCAGCAATGATGGGGATGCTTGAGCAGTATGGTTTATAATTGCAGAGCAGAGCATCAAATTAATGCCATGTTGCTTCGGAGCATCATTGTGATGCTGTGATATGATCACAGTGCTGGATGTGACAGTTTCAGATGAAATATGAAATTGGGGTCTTAGTCATTTGCATACATCAAATATATGTATACATCAAATCCCAATGAAGTGCTGTGGCTGGATTTGCAGTTCAGTTATGTGCAGTGTCTTATTTCCTGTGCAACTAGGTGAGTTTTTGGTAATAGCAAATAAAGGTTGAGTTTGATAATGAAGTAGCCAGCAATTATTTGGCTCGTGTATCTAAACGTTTGTTCTAATGGTGTGTTAGTCATGTTAGGTCAGTTCTGAGTATATCCTGTTTTATTACACTTAGAAATCTACTTTAGACAGTTGCAGTCAGTCGTACCTGCCTGTTCCAGTGCCTAACCTCTTGTACTTGGCATGCATTTGCACTGGAGGGACAGAAGTGGGGTTTGCAATCTCTGTATGGCACGTCAAGGTTTGCTGTTTGTTCCTGACCAACACTGTGTTTCAACTGCAGGGTGCTGTTTTGTTACATTTTATACCCGTAAAGCTGCACTAGAAGCACAGAATGCTCTTCACAATATGAAGATCCTTCCAGGGGTAAGAGCAGAGCCATGCCTTTGTCACAACTCTACCTTGTTTTTCTGACACCACTGAAGTACAAACACATGTTTCCTTGCCCTCAAATAATGTTTTAAAAGAACTACTCAAAAGATCAGTGTCATGAGATCTATATGATGACAGATCTGAAGGGAATTTTTGAGCCTTTGGGAGAATAATATAGTAGCAAAGTGGGTGGGGTTGGCGTTTATAATACTCTGGGGAGGAATGGTGGCACATGATTATGAAAGCCTTTCTTCTAGGGATTTATGTAATGTTACATATGCACTTCTTGAGAGGCGATTCAGGCTTCAATTTCTTTCTCCACAATTCTTATGGGATGTTTTTCGTATGGTATGAAGTGAGTGTATCTAGGATTAAATAATCTTTTTGTGTTTCAGATGCATCATCCTATCCAGATGAAACCAGCTGACAGTGAAAAGAGTAATGGTAAGCTTTACTGAAGTCTGGCTTTGGTGGCATCATTTGTGCTGCTTGGGAAAGCTGAGGATTTTGCTTTTGTTGAACAGCTTCTGATGAAGTCTTAAATTGGAGGCCTGATTTTTTTTTAAAGGAAAAAATGAAGAGAAAGGTGTGTTTTCACTACAGTAGCTAGTGTCAGTGATGTCTCTAAAATTCCATGACTCAGAGTATCTCCCCCTGCTGTTGCTTGTGGTAGAACCATGTTGTCAGTTAGGGAAACATCCAGTGAGTTCTTTTTTGTACTAAGGTGGTTTAAATCTTTGTTGGGGACATGGATAGTGGGACTGAGTGCACCCTCAGCAAGCCTATGGATGACGTCAAGCTGAGTGCTGTGGCTGATACCCTAGAGGGAAAGGATGCCATCCAGAGAAGCCTTGACGGTTGGAGAGGTGAGCCCGGGCGAACCTCATGAAGTTCGGCAAGGCCAAGTGCAGAGTTCTGCAGACATGGATGCAGGCTGTGTGATGGATGGATTGAGAGCAGCCCTGAGGAGGAGGACTTGGGGGTACTAGTGGATGGAAGACTGAATGTAAGCTGGCAACGTGCACTTGCAGTCTAGAAAGCCTGTCATATATCCTGGGCTGCATCAGAAGAGGGCTAACAGGTCCGAGGGGATTCTCCCACTGCTCTCATGAGACCTCACCTGAAGTACTGCATCCAGCTCTGGGGCCCCCAGCATGAGAAAGACCTGCTGTAGCATGTTCAGGACGGGGCCGTGAAGATGATCAGAGGGCTGGAGCACCTCCCCTGTGAGGCAGGTGGCGAGAGCTGGGGTTGTTCAGTCTGGAGAAGAGAAGACTCCAGGGAGATGACCTTCCAGTACCTAAAGGGTACAAGGACAGGGTGGGATTGTTTATCTGGGAGTCCAGTGATAGCACAAGGAATGACAGTATTAAACTGAAAGAGAGTAGGTTTAGACTAGGTATTAGGAAGAAATTCTTTACTGTGAGGGTGCTGAGGCACTGGCACAGGTTGCCCAGAGCAGCTGTGCATGCCCCATCCCTGGCAGTGTTCAGGCTGGGCTGGATGAGGCTTTCAGCAGCCTGGTCTACTGGAAGGTGTCCCTCTCTGTGGCAGGGACTTGGAACTGGATTGTCTTTGAGGTGCCTTCCAACCCAGACTGTTCTACGATTCTATGAAATCTAGAAGTGCTTTTTCAAGTGCTTGTCCAGTTTGAAGCAAGGCCTGTTGCGGCTAGGGTGGGAGTCAAAACTGCTTCTTGTAGCGCACAAGGGAAGCTGAGAATTCACAGCAGTTCAGTAGAGAAGAAAAACTATTTCTGTGCATTGGCCATTCAGACGGATTAAGAATTTAGCATGGTCCATTGGGTAAATGCTCATTTATCCATGCATGTCCATTAGGAGTTTATCTGCATACATGCACATTCAGATGTGTGTGTGTCCATACATCTCTGCTGATGCTGGAGCAATAAAGTTTTTAGCGTCTTGTAGTTTCAGCCTGTCTAGGCTTGGCTGAATTTTATTTTATTTGTTGGTTCTAGTTTATATGCGATTAGTGTTGCATCATGGGGAAGGTAATCCTGGTTCCAGAAAGCTTGCACCTTAAGATAGGTGAGAACAGGAGATGGAATATATGGGTAACATAGAGTAGGAGTAATTCCATCTGCAGATTCCTCCATGTGTTTCCAGAACATGTTTCTGTGTAAAGTGTCTCAAAAGGAGTAATTCTTCTGAAGTGTTTCTGGGAGGAGAACAGAATAGGTTCTCAAGCTGAGACTGGTCTTGCATTACACACAGACACACAGATATTCTGGGAAAATAATGGAAAAAGAAAAAAATTATTTAGTGGGATTTTGGGGTGATAATTCTGAGGCTATTACATAGTTATGAGTTTTAGTACAAGGTGTAGGTGACCACAATAGAGATGAAAACATTAGTTAAGAGAGTTTTTAACTTGCCACTCATAAAAGGGATTCTGGATCTCTTGGGCTAAAATGGGCTGCAAAAAGAATTTGAAAGCAGCTCTCTGTGCTGAGAGCAGAAAGGGATTGGGGTGCAACATTGAAATTCAATAGTCAGTCATGTTAGAATAGTTGAGGGTTTCCTCTCCAGCCTCAGAGAAGACTCAACGAATAAGGTGATTTTCCTTCACTGTGGCACTGAATAGGAGAAGACTTAATTGAAAGCTTCAAATTGTGCTGCAGCCTTCATTATGTTACATTTTATGTTATGATGAATGTTGCATTTCTAAACTGTTCTATATTTTCACATGGCATTCTGCATAATTTGCTTCATCCTTCAAAAGCAAATGTTTTGCAGGTGATTAGCGTCCTTAAGTAAATCAAGGTACAAAATACTGCTGTGGATTCGAGTTCACCCCATTCCCTCAAGTGACCTTTAACTGGCATTAGTAACCACTAACTGAAAAGTTAGGAGAAATGTCTTTCTGAACCATTTGTTTTACAACAGTTTGCACACTTTCAAAAGGTGTTCTGCAGCTCTGATGTGGCTAGTAGCAGCAGCATTTAGAGGCAGGACAGAATACCCCACAGTCCATGGTTCAGTTTTTGGTGTTATTTTTGTGCTTTTGGTGCAGACCAGAATGGATACATCACTAACAGAAGTAAAGCTGTTTTGTTTTAGCACTGCTCTTGCTTCCACTGTTGAGAGAGGCGCGTGAGGAAATGGGCACATCTAGATTTAAGTGATTGACATGATAAAAAGACTAAACAGAAGCTTTCTGCAGCTCGCTTGCTTGTTTATGTACAATTAGGTATGTTGGCAAAGATAAAGATAGAAGAGACAAAGGAGGATGAAAATAGGCCAATAAACCACATACAAGTCTTCTCTCCCTCACCAGGTTGCTGAAGTGCTGAATCTGACATACTTTTCCCCTTTTTTTTTACATTCTTGCCATTCAACAGTCTTTGCGAGGAAAAAACAGTCAGCAAGCTGTAAACATAAAATAGTCATCCCTCAGGTTCGTTGGGGTGTTTCCTGTGCATCCTCTTGGGCTGAAGACAGTCTGTTGCTGGGAATCTGGTTTGATGAGCCCCTACCCTAAATACGAGGGAAACAGCTGGAGTTAATGGAGAAGACAACAAAATAAGATCTAGTGAGCACATACCTGTTGGTAATACTGTCTCTTTTGATTTCTTAGCAGTAGAAGATAGGAAGTTGTTTATTGGCATGATATCCAAGAAGTGCAATGAGAATGATATCCGAGTGATGTTCTCCCCCTTTGGGCAGATCGAGGAATGCAGGATATTACGAGGCCCGGATGGCCTGAGCCGAGGTAAGCAGGAAGCTTTTCTGGCAGTCCAAGGCTCTGCACTGGCTGCTGCCTCTTGCAACTCAGTGTGACACTGCAGCCTTTCCTGAGTCACACCCACACCCCCTCCCCACCACAGGCATCTTCACTGCTGTGCTCATCCCAGTCGTGTGGATGTAATGTCTGACTCGGTTCCTCTTTGTTCTTTCCCCAGGTTGTGCATTTGTGACTTTTACAACACGAGCCATGGCACAAACAGCAATCAAAGCAATGCACCAAGCACAAACCATGGAGGTAAAACAAGTCAATGGGTGTCAGGAGCAGATGTAATTTGTCAGGCAGTCACTGTGGAGTTTAAGGAACTAAAGGGCAGAGAAAAGGAAAAGTGTAGTGTTTCTTCACAAATACTGCTCCTGGGCCTTTGCGTTTGTTCTGCTCTTGCTTTTAGAGCTTGAGATAGAAGTGTCGTCTGCAGAGAAAGTACCAAAATACAAAAAGAATTGAAAGTAAATGAGATTTTGAGCCTTAAATGAAGTGCTCTGTTTGATTGTGTGTGTGTGTATGTGTGTGCATGTGGGGGAGAGGAATGCTTCCATTGACTAGGTCTTAGCGTGGTATTTCTGTGACTGCTGGGGATAGCAAGTATGTAATTGTTTGAATTGCTGTTTGCAGGGCTGCTCTTCTCCCATTGTGGTAAAATTTGCAGACACACAGAAGGACAAAGAGCAGAAACGAATTGCTCAGCAACTCCAGCAACAAATGCAACAGATCAGTGCTGCCTCAATATGGGGAAACCTGGCTGGTCTCAACACACTTGGGCCACAGTACTTAGCAGTGAGTTTCTGGTTTGGGTTCTTTTCATCTCTTCAGGGCTTGCAGTGTCTGACTGTCTTGCAGTGTTTGATGCATTCATTTCTAGAAGGCTCCTGACAGATCACAGCAGGGTTTGCAATCCGTGTTTTGTGGATGAGAAGGCTGCAGTTGTTATGTGCTGTCTAGTCAGGGTACAGCTAGGGGGGAGGATTTCAGTCTCAGTCACAGTAGCCCTAATTACTGGAACCTTGGGGTTGTTCTCCTGCATGCTGAAGAATGACTTCATGCTTTTTCTTATATGTTGTGGCTTCAACATTTACCCAGATAAATGCCCTTTTCATGCCTATCTGATGATACAGTTCTTGTATTCCTTTATCATTTTTCCTTTTCCCACCTTTATTTCTCTCATCCCCTTCCAGTGAAAGCTGGAACAGTAGTTGGTACTGTCTAAATAGAAAAGGGGATCAGGTTGGAAGTGGAGTGGAAAAACAAACCAACCAACCAAAAATAAACCCCACAGAAAATAAAGAGAAACTACTCTTTAGCAAAACTGATGCAACAGAAGGTAGACTGTTGTTTGTCACTGGTGGCAGTTGATTTTGCTGGGTCCCTGAGCTTTTCATATGCTGATGTGCGCTGACTCATGTCGGTTGCCAGAGTGGCTATGAGAACTGCGTTAATGCAGTGTAAGGTCTGAGGAACAGAAAGGGGAAATTTCATCCCATGTCTCGTTGAAACGGGGCAATTCTCTCTTTTGCTGCTTTTTTAGTTTTGGTAGGTTGGAATCTTTCTTTGTAACAACAACCGAGTTAATGGAAAAATGCATCGGAAGTCTCTAAATAGCTTCTAAGCTGAGGCTTGGAATGTCTCTCTTCCACTGTGTGCAGGGAGAGGGAGGGGATTCACTTTCCTGGGGCAATTTGGTTTTGGTGTGGTATTGCCATTTGTCCTGTGCTGGCAATGTCAGCTGTAAAGTCTGTCCTGAGGTGGCAAAGCCTTAGAGGTGGCACTCCTGCCTTAGTTGCTTTGAAATAGGAATTCTCTCTCACTACAGTTTCTGTTGGATTTGCTCGTGGTGTATTAGCTGTAGTTTTCCCTCCGCACCGGCGATGTGGAGTGAGGGAAGCGTTGTGCTCTGGCTGTGCCTGCAGTGTGGTGCATGGGCTGCACGGAGTCTGACGTGGTGGTGCTCTGGCTGTGCTGTGCAGGGCAGTGCTCCTTACGCTTCGCCCGCTGTGATGGTGGGCACTGGGGACTCGTGACGGCGCTCTGGCTGTGGTGTGGTGCAGTTTCTCCCAGAAGCAGAGCCAGCCCTCACTCTCACTCTTGTTTTGTTTTTTGGTGTAATGTCTAGCTTTATTTGCAGCTCCTTCAGCAGACAGCAGCTGCTTCATCTGGGAACCTGAACACCTTGAGCAGCCTCCACCCAATGGGAGGTGAGTTTTTTTCCACGAGAAGGCAAATTCAGTGCGGAACTAAAGAGGACGAGGGTAGAGAAAGTAGTCAAAAGGCTAACAGACACATTAATCTCATTTGAAATTTGAAGTCCTGAGTGTACGCACTCCTTTGGAACGACAAATCCTCTCCTACAAGTGTGGATGTTCCTTCTTAATCTTAGTTAACTGTTGCCCTTGAGGTAAGTCGTGGTGTCTCCAACCTGTGGCTTTCAAAACTGCCTTCCCTTAGGGGTAATGAAAAGAATGCTGTCTGTTTGTTCTCATTCAGATGGGTGCACATAGGAAGAACTGTGTTTTGAAACAGGCACTAATGCAGGTTTCAGTGATGGTGGATTCTTACTTCTCACCTTTCAAATGCTTTGCTCTTAAATACATCAAAGCTGCCAAGGCATTACGACCAGTGTGAACTACTCCCTCATTTAGGTTCTCTCACTCATTCACTGGAGTTAGTCGGTTGTGCCGTTGCTGTTTGGGAAATAGCAGCTTAATAGGCATGAGCCAAGTTCTTGCTGTGACTGTTAGAGCATTTTGGGCTGCGAATTGATCGTTCCTTCTGCCTTCATGGGGTGAGGAATAACAAAACACATGTGAGTAACTCCATTCACCACGTTCTCTAAGTTCCTCTGCTGACAGAAAATCTATAGTTGTGGTTTTAATACTGAACAATTCTAAGCTTCTAAAACTGCTTCCGAGAGTTTTATGGGAGTTCCCAGTGTCATGTGCGCTGTCTGTGCAGAGGTTGGTCTGAAGGTGTCTTTGTGCATTTGGCTCGTGTTGGTACACTGATCAGTGACAATCACAAGCTTTTGCAAGTGTTATGTGTTCAGTTGTAAGAACTTTGGTGTATATTTGAGGTTGATTCTAACCTCAGCTTCCTGTGTTGACTTTTTTCATATTAAACCTCTTCAGAGTTCTTAGATCTAAGACTCTTGCAATAAAGCAGTTCTTCTTCAAAATCAGTTTCACCAGTTTCCTGTGTGGTGGTGATCTGTAATGGATTTTGTTCTCTGCATGATCCTGGTTTCTTCCCCCTCTTGTGTCTGCTTAAATGCAGGTCATAGTAAAGGAGAAAGTACAGCAATAAGGACAGGGGCAGGGGAAGGGCTTGCCCCTGAAGTTTACAGGGGAATTCTGGCTTAACTATTTAAATGAAACAACTTACCAATTGAGAAATCATATATATATATATATATATGTATGTATATATAAAACATGTTGCATGGAGTTTTGAAAGAATTATTCCAAGTCTGTGATTCTTTACAGGAAAAAGTTGTAGTTCCAAACTCCTGTTCATATCTCAGCTGATCTCCTTTCCTGAAATTCATAGAAAGATTTAAGTAGGTAATTAGATCCCAAACTGTATCAGACACTGCAGACAGAATTTAATCTTGACCCTGTTGGAAGCAGATGGGAACGCAGTGTGATGACAAGAGGACAGGTGCGGTGTGCACATGGCAAACTGCTTTAGCAAGGACGGAGCAAGCTGCTCTGTTCTTCATTAGCCCCAACACTTGCACTTTTAATCCCTCTAGCACAATAAAGGCAAAATATAAAACTTTGACTTCATGTTACAGTGGCATACTGAGAATCTAAGTAAAGGCAGAATCATCATGTTTCAGGCACTAAGTTTGGTTAGGGAAACAGAACCTATCACTGAGAAAACAATGGAAAAAGATTTACAAAACCCAAACAAACTGTACTAAAGGTGGACGAAGTACTTTAGAAAACAACTAGTTTATCCTGCCTTGTCACTTACATTCTTATGTTACCTGTTTACACAAAACTGAGGTTTTAATTGTTGGACATGTGTGCTTTGTCACCAGGTTCTTGCTCAGAATCCAAAAGATGAGTTGCCACTGCTGCCTAGGGCATGGTGATGTTAAGTGAATGGCAGCTAATTTAATTTTGGCTTTCATTATGTTGAGAGGAAATATTGGAGATTGTCTGAAGTCAGATGAAAAGAGGAGGAATTGCTAAAATAAGGAAAGTTAGAGACAAAAAGGGAAAATAAGGAAAAAGGGAAGAGGCAGAGTTGGAAGAATGGAGCCAGTCTGCTGAAGGATGGCTAAAACACAGACTTCAGGAGGAGAGTCCTTTCAGTGATAGTCCCGTGGCAGGGAAAAGGGCAAGCTGCAGTCTCAGTACCGACCAAATGGTTTCACTCAAAAGTTAGGACTCAGGATTAAGGTGAGTCAGATGAATAAACTGAGCAGTAAGGGCAACACAGTGGTACCTTCCCCACCCGGGGTGCCTTGCTGCCTAACCACAACGTGCCTGATATTTCCTGTTTCCTGACCACTGTGTTTGTCCAGCTGACTAGACTACAAGTTCTCTAGCTTTTAAATGAGCTGTCAGACTCTGGCTTAGCTCTCATTTAAAGCTGGTATGCTTTTGTGACTGGAGAGAACACTGCTGGAAATTTCTGTACTCTGGAGTCTGCGCCTGGGCCAATGACTACCTGTTCTATACCGAGTCACATCTACCGGGGCAAAGAAAAGCTTAATTCTAACGAGGAATCACAGTGCAGAAAAGATCGGTACCTAGTATTAAGTCTTTGCTTTTGAGCTCCTTCCCAGTACTGCCTTGTGATGCACTGAAGTTGCTGGATCTGTTGCACTTGGATGGTGGTGACTATTGCAGGAGAAACTCTGCATTCTTGCCTGTGTTGCAGGACTGAACGCGATGCAGTTACAGAACCTGGCTGCGCTCGCGGCTGCGGCCACTGCGGCTCAGAACACCCCGAGTGGCACCGCGGCACTCACTTCCTCCAGCAGTCCCCTGAGTGTGCTCACCAGCTCAGGTAAGACACTGCCTGTGCTCTGTGGCATGACTTGCCCTAGCAGTCCTGTCAGCACAGATGCCAACTGTTCTGTCTGTCCCTTGTTGTCCCTTCCATGTTAATTGTTTAATAGATAAGCCGTTTTACTAGTGGACTCACTGGCCTCTGTTTGGGGTAGGTATCTTGCCAGCAGCAAAGGCTTTTTCCCCTGCTGTGTTCCTTCCTCCAAATGGTCGCATTAATTTAGAGTAAAAAGAGTTTTTGAGGTCACGGTGAAGCAGAAAGGTAAGTGACCTCCTTCCAGTCATGTTACTTATCACATACTCGGTTTATCTGTGATTTTAGGCAGGTACTGTGGCAGAGATGCCTTATTCCTCTAGACATGGAGACAGAAGATGCCTTAAGCATGAAGTAATGTGTTCTGTGCACTAGAGCAGTGCAGTTTATACTCTAACTTCCTCATAGAAGTGGAATGGACTGACAACTAGCACATTTACTGGAAAGCAGTTGTCTAGAACTGAGGCTTGGACAGGGACACTCTCTGCTGG